TATTATATTATATTATATTATATTATAATATAATATATTATATTATGTTATATTTATTATGTTATATTTATTATGTTATATTTATTATGTTATATTATATTATATTTATTTTGTTATATTTATTATATTATATTTATTATATTATATTTATCATATTATTACTAATACTAAGAATATTAAGAATATATCTTAATTATAATTAATATAATTAATATATATTTATATAATATATATTATATATAACATATATTATATATATTGGGTGCCCAAAAGAGCTGAGGCTGAATCCTTGGAAGTTTCTGGAACAATCTGGGACAGTGGGAGATTCCAAGCCCATGGCAGGGCTTGGAATGAGATTTTTGAGGTTCCTCCCATCCCAAAACTCTGCCATTCCCTGCTCCTGGCATGGTGGAGAGCAGCAGGAACGCTGATCCCAATAAAACCCTCCCAGGCTTTGGAGGGAGAACCATCTGCTCTGCATTTCCAGTCACTCTCATCCTCCCACAACCGTCAGAACTCTGTCATTCCGAGCAGAAAAAAGCACTTTTCTCTCCAATTAACACTTTGTCTCGTCTTTCAGATGGGAGGAGGAGCTGAGCAGAAGGATGAGCCTGGAATCCATGGTGGAAACCTTGCGAGAGGTGAGGTTTGGGGTGAAGGGTGCAGGGCTTTTCTGGACAGCATTTATTTGTCTTTTAAATAAAAATCTGCCTTCTGGCTGGAGCAGCTGTGCTCTAAAAAAATGTTGGGGAGCTGGAGCAGGAAATGAGGAAGTTTGTGATGGAATTTGTGATGGAATTTCTGAAGTTTGTGATGAAGTTTGTGATGAAGTTTGATGAGGTTTGTGATGGAATTGATGAAGTTTGTGATGAAGTTTGTGATGGAATTTATGAAGTTTGTGATGGAATTTGTGATGGAATTGATGAAGTTTGTGATGAAGTTTGTGATGAAGTTTGTGATGGAATTTGTGATGAAGTTTGTGATGAAATTTGTGACAAAGTGGGAGGAGGGAATGAAGCGCGACAATTAAATTTCACTACAGAAAAATTCCTTTCCATCCCATTTTTCCTGTTGCCTGGCCAGCCTGCTGAGGCTGGCTGAGGAATTTTCTGGAATCTCTGGGGATTTTTCCCTTGCAGGAGGCCCAGGAAGCAGAAGCTCTCCAGGAGGAGCTGAATGAGAAGATTGAGAGGCTGAAAGCAGAGCTGGTGGTCTTTAAAGGTCTGATGAGTGATGTAAGTACAAGGGTTTGTGTGTGTGTGTGTGTGTCCTGCACAGCTTCATCCACAGCCAGGTGATTAGCTGCTGTGTTAATTAATGCTGTGTTAATTAGCCATGGCTGCTGGCATCTCCTGCATCAGACAGATTTCCCTTTCCCTGCTTCCTGTCTGGTTTGTGTGGAGATGCATTAAGTGCTGCTCACCCCCTAAAGGACTCTCCCCTCCCTTCCCCACCGGGATCTGGGAAAAAAAAGGGGTTGGAAAACTCTGGGAAAATCCCAAAAGGGGTTGGAAAACTCTGGGAAAATCCCAAAAGGGGTTGGAAAACTCTGGGAAAATCCCAAAACGGGTTGGAAAACTCCAGGAAAATCCCAAAAGGGGTTGGAAAACTCCAGGAAAATCCCAAAAGGGGTTGGAAAACTCTGGGAAAATCCCAAAAGGGGTTGGAAAACTCCGGGAAAATCCCAAAAGGGGTTGGAAAACTCTGGGAAAATCCCAAAAGGGGTTGGAAAACTCCGGGAAAATCCCAAAACGGGTTGGAAAACTCCAGGAAAATCCCAAAAGGGGTTGGAGAACTCTGGGAAAATCCCCAAAGCGGGATTGGGGTGAAGGTTCATCCTAAAGGAACACCTTGTGTGGGATCAGGGAATGGTTTGGGCTTAAAGATCATCCTGTTCCACCCCTGCCATGGCAGGAACACCTTCAGATATTCCAGGCTGCTCCAACCCTTCCCAACCTGGCCCTGGGCATTTCCAGGGATCCAGGACCTCCCCACACTCACAAGTGTTTCCCATTTCCCTCAATAAAACCCTGAAAAGATTAATCCAGTAATCCTGGTTCAGGTATTGGATTTGCTTCCAGGTTCAACCTCAACAAAATAAAAATAGAAAAAAAGTTTTGTTTTCTCAGGAATTTCCTGATGTCTCATTAGATACTGAGTTGTCTTTAAAGCCAGAGGATCTTTTAGGCCCTGAGTGGATAAAATTCCTTTATTTAAAAGTGACAGCGTGCAGATATCTGCAA